GGCCGAGGTTTATAAAGTCCAAAATCGAGACAGGTAAATCAAGGCAAGCCATACCCCCAGCCGGTGCGGCGGAACCGGCCCAGAAGAAGCTGCGGAAAAACGCCACAAAGCCAGTGCGCACATGGTTGAGCACAGACATCGGCAAGTCGGGTCAGATCATGGACCGCGTCGACACGGAACTGCCCAAGCGTGTGCACTCGGCCACTGGTGGAGAGGATACCAACCCTGCTCTGACCAAACCGGACATCAAGGCGGTCAAGCCCAAGTGACCGAGACTTCGCATTGATGGTGGCAAGCCTGTTTCGCCACAGCGGAATGAGGGCGCTGAAGGGCCGAGTCGCGACGTGGATTGGAGCGGCAACAGGAGGTCCAAGTGAGCCCCGTCAAGCACGGGGAAAGCAACTTCCGGACGTATGGCTCCCGTCACGAGCACAAGGCTTCCCACGCAGCCAGACTGTCTCAGTGGCGAGGAAGAGCTGGGTGTTGCAAGTGCCATCACAGGAACCGCAAAACCAGCTCGTGCAAAAGATTGCAAGCTCGGCGGAAACTCAAAGTGCGCGGAATCCAAAACGAGCACTGAAGCATCGAAGTTACCCACACCCATGACGGGCAGCCCGAGGCCAACGCAACCATGGCTTTGTGGTGAAGCTGAAGCATCCACATGGCAATACGAAAGGGCAAGCGGAGCCGAACCAAGTCGAACGGGACTGTGCACTGACATCGTGGAGTCAGGCTGTGACACTTCCACGACTGGCAGCGAACCAAGAGAACGAATACGGACAACTCCCTCGGTTGACGTCAGGAAGTCAGATTGTGCAGAGCTTCGTGCCAGAGGGACTGAGCCAGCTTGCGCGAATGAAAGGGCAAGCAAAGCGGAGCCCAGCCGAGCAAATGCGCGCAGGCTGCAGGAGGCTCCCAGAGTTCCCGCATCGAGCACGAGGGGGGAGAATCCCAGGCAGGCGATGCCGCATGCAGGCACAACACTGCCTGCACATGTAGGGCTTCTCAGAAGCGTCAAAGGGCCCGGACCAGCGGAGTTTGGCGCCGAGGCGGGCAGGTCTAGTTGGCTGACGCTGTGGAGCGAGGCTGGTGGACCCATGTGTACCACTTCAGCCGCCAGCAGCAAGAAGACAGAGCCCATCCTAGTTAAGCCGCAGACAAGCAAAGTAGAATCGGGTCGTGCACAGCTATGCAAAGGCAGCAGCAAGCTTGGGCCAGTGAAGTCGAATGCCAGCGCGACAGAGCCAGGACGCCCAGAACTTCGCACAAACATCATGAGATCGATCTTTCCAAAGTCCAGCAAAGGAACTGACAGGCCCATCCGTGCGAAGCTTTGCGAGGGGGTCAAGGATTCGGGCCTAGTTGCGTCGAGAACAGATGTTGCGACACCTGGGCGCGCGATGCCGAGGACAGCTGCGGCGGCTTCAAGTCGAGCGTAGTGTTGCAATGGCATGCTTGATCCTGGGGTGGACGTTCCAGGAACAAGCACCGGCAAGCCAGGCCTTGCAAGGCTATGCAATAGCACCGGCGGACCAGGCTTGCTCTCATCCAGAATCGACAGTGACATGCCGAAACAAACCAGCCCCAACGCTGACACCCCAAGGCCGGTGCAAGCAGATTCCCGGAGAAACGGCGGCGAACCAGGCAATGCAAACTGAAGAACAAAGGCTGAGCTGCCCAATCGTGAAAAGCTGTGCAGAGACATGGAACTGTCCGACTTTGCCGTCTCGACCACAAGCAGAGGGGACACCAAGCCCACACACGACAGACCCGAAACAAAAGGCGTCGGCCCGGGTCGCACGAGTGACCTCGGCATCAACGAGGGGCCTGAGTGTGCAAGATTAGAGGCAGGTAGCCCAGGGCCCAGTCGGGCAATAGAACGGATGAATGCCGAAGCGTCCGAGCTGGAGAAGCCGAGGACAAGGAGAAAGGGATCTGAGCAGCCAAGGCCACAAACAAGAGGCACAAGACCCACCTGTGCCAGGCTTCTCAATGGTGTCGGAGCTTCTGAAGCTGAAGATTGCAGAGCTGATGCAGCTGCACCCATGCGAGCGGAACTTCGAATTGGCACGAAGGCTTCGGAACGAGCGACATCAACAACCGGCAGAGGGAAAACAAAACCAACACATGCCAATCCACTCACGAACATTGACAAGCCCAAGCGCAAGAACTGATGCAGTGGCGAAAGGCTGCCAAGTTGCGAGCATGCAAACACAGATGCGGCGGGGCCGGGTCGCAAAGGACTTTGAAGCAAAGGCGATGGACCCATGTGAGCACCATCTAGAACCAACGAAGCCACACCTGATCGCGCCGCGGAAAAGGCAGAGGCTGACAGCTCTGCCCAAGCAAATGACCGGAGTGGTATAGAGCTTCCCAGGCGTGCCACGTTCAAGGCTAGCAACATGCTGCCCGCGCAAGTCAGGCTTCGAGTCGGAGGCGGACTTCCTGAGCGCACTTCGTCAGTTGCTAACAGCAAGAACACGAAGCCGACTCTGGAAACTCCAGAAACCGGTGCAGCAGAGCCTGCTCGGCCGCGACCACGCAACGGTGCACAAAGGCCGGTGTGCATGGAGTTTGGTACTAAGGCAGGAGGGTCAGGTTGCGCGAGTGCCTTTGTGGGTGGCGAGCTGCCCGGTTGCAGAAGGTCAGGCGCGGGCGCAACAAATCCGAGCCGGGCAAGACTTCTCAGTAACATTAAAGGGCCGAGTTGAAGAAGGTCGATCACTGGCAAAGAGAAGAGTTTGCTCACTCGGAAAGTACCTTCGGCCGGTAAAGGGCTGTCGAGTCGGCTGAGGCTCTGCGCGGGAGTCGAGGAACCCAAGTGAACGAACTGAGATGCCGGCATGGAGAAATCAGGCCGTGCAGGGGATCTCGAGGATGCAAGAGATCCAGGGCGACTTGCCGCAAGCACGGAAGCAATAGACCCGGAGCGAGTGAATGACCGGCAAGATGCCGGCAAGCCCGAGTTTGCGACATCCGAGACTGGGAGAGAGGAGAAGGATCCCACACGCGCAGTTCCCAGAACGAGCACAGACAGGCCCAGACAGGCCAGAGCCTTCAAGAGCAGTAAGAAGCCAGGAGCACTCGTGTCGAAAGCAAAGAGCGCTGGGTCAAGTTGGGTAGGAGACCGTAAGGGCGAGATGGAGCCTGGCTCAATGCCGCACAGTGCAAACACAGCGAAGCCGATTCTTCCAGAGCTTCTCAACGGCACCAAGCTTTCCATTTCTGCTAGGCCCACAACCGACAGCAAGGAGAGCAGTCCTGCGCGTGCCATGCCAGAGACCAAGGCTGATGTGCCTGGCTGAGCAAGCTGCCGCGGCAATGTCGGAGGCCCAGAGTGTGCGAAGTTTGGTGCTGAGACTGCAGATGCCGACCGAAGGAATGAGCGCAAGGAGGCTGCAGACTCTATGTTTGAAAAGTCTGATGCCGGTGCCGCGCTACCTGACCTGGCCGATCCACTCGCAAGCGACACAGAGCCTGTGCAGATCATAGATTGGAGAGACGTCAGCAAGCCCAAATGAGCGGATCCCGACATCAAAGCTGGAAGTTCAACCTGAGTAGAAGAACGGACAGATGACGGCGAATCAGGGTAGACCTCTTCTGTTGCAGGCAGCGGGAACACAGATCCTGGCCAGCTTGAACCGACAACCGGCAGCAGGAGCCCAGGCCAAGCAGAGGATTGCAAAAGCATAGATAAACCCAGGTGAGCGGAGCCCAACACTGACGGCCCGAGGTCTGGTTGGCCACGGCTATGCAGGGAAAGCGGGGAACCCAGACATGCTTCTTCAACTGCTGGTAGCGAGAACACGGGCCCTGCGCAAGTCAAGCCGAACACCAGGATCAGCAAGCCGCAACGAGCGAAAGACCGGACGGGAGCAAAAGAAGCTGGATACGAAAAGTCCATGGCTGGTGTGATGAAGCCTAGCTGTGTGGAACTCTTGGGAGATACGGGTGAGTCAGTCCTTGCTATATCTGCCACTGGCAGTGGGGACACGGGTCCAGCACGCATGCAGCCAAGCAAAAGGGCAGAAGGACCAACGCAAGAGAATGCGTGCAACGACAGTGTTAATTCTGGAGCCGAACAGCCTGACACCGACGTCACCAAGCCCAGGCAGCCGGGTGATCGCAAGGAAGATGCGCTGCCCAGAGTTGCGCCCTCAAGCACGGATGTGATTGCACCCGAACGCACAAGTCCAAAGGCCGGCAGGGTGCTTCCCAAGCAGATATAACTTCTCAAAAGCAGGAGAAACCCCGAGTTTGTAAGGTCCGAGGGTGGCAACAGGGAACCGAGCCACGATGGGCTTCGGATGAAAACCGAGGGGCCGGTGTTGGTCACTTCCGCGACAGGCAAGCTGAACACGGAGCCGACTCGAGCAATGCCCGGCGCCAGCACAAGTGCGCCAAGCTAGCCACGGCTTTGCAACATCGGCGATGAGCCAGGATGCATCGTTCTAAATGTCAGTAAGATCGGCCCTGACCATGCATGGCTGCGGGGAAGAAGAGTGAAGTCTGAACTCGTGAAATCACAAGCTGAAGGTAAGACTCCTGGCCGAGACTCGCCAGGGGCCGATGGGGCGGCACCCGCATAGCCAGGGCTTCGCAGCAAAAGGGCACTGCCAGTGTGACTGAACTGAAACGCCGGTGCCAACGTATCCGCCCGCGCAAAGGAGTGCACTGGCATTGGCAAACCGAGGTTGCTTACACCAGCAACGGGTGGAGAGAATACGAATCCGGCGCATGTCAAGCCGCAAAGGGGTAGCAGCGGTCCGGATCTCGAAAGGCTGCGTAGCAAGGAGGTGAAGCCCGTCTGCAAGAAGTCCAGGGCCGGCGAGGCAGGCCCGCATCTTGCAGTGGACTGCAGAGGCAGTAAGAAGCCCAAGTGAGAATGGCCCACAACCGGCAGCACGGACACGGAGCCGGTACGGGTCAGGCCGGATGCGAGCACGGACAGGCCCATCCTGGCAAGGTCACGGACAAGCGAGGCAGAGTCAGCATCGCACATGTTCAAAGCAGAGGTTGCAAAGGCCGGCTGGACAAAGCTGTGGGGTGACACGAGCAGGTCGGGGCTTGTGCAGTCCGAGACAAACATCAGCGACTCGAGTCGTGCAAGTCCGAAGGCCGGCGTGAGGCTTTCGACGTGTCCGATGCTTCGTGGAGGCAACGGCAAGCCCACTGCAGTGAGCTTCATGATCAGTACCAAAAGGTCTGTTCTGGCAGAGCTTCTGGCAAACAAGCTGAACCCTGGATGCACCATTTCAGCCACCGGAAGCAAGAAGACAAAGCCAGCTCGACCCATTCCTACTGCAGGCATCGCCAAGTCGATTCAGCTGGGCCCTTGCAAAGACAGCAGCAGGTCAACATGCGTGGAGTCCGTGGCTGACAACACGGAGTCTATGCGCGTGCAGCTTTGCAGCGAAGCTGGTGAGCCTGGCGAAACCGTGTCGGCTACGGACAGGAAGAACACAGGGCCCGCATGGCCAATCCCCAGTGCCAGTATGAAGGAACCCGAACATGCAAACGCCTTCGAAAGTGGCGACGGCTCAAGTCCGATCAAACTAAATACGAGCGTGGCGCTTCCTAGCCTGATGAAGGACCGTAGCAACACAGGGGATTCAGTACCTGAGAAGTCACATGCCAGAAGAACTGTTCCTGGCCACGCCGCGCCGGACACAGGCGGTGCACTACCCAAGCACGCAGAGTTGTGCAAAGATGCACTTGGCCCAAGTGTGGCAGGGTCCAAAGCAGGCAACAAAAGGTCCATATGAACGGAGCTATGCACCAAGAGTGAGGATGCAAAGATCGAAATCCCGAGCACAGGCAGCGAGTATACATAATCAGACTTGGCAACCCCCAGTAGGAGTGGAGTGGGGCCAGACCTGACAGAGCCCCTGACCAGCAGCATGGACCCTAGTTGCGCGAAATTAGAGACAGGCGTGGCAAAACCTGGGCAGCTGAGGCTTTGCAGCAGCAACGAAGATCCAGGACGCGTGTCCGCAACGACGGGCAGGGCGAACACAAAACCCACGCAGCCAGTTCCCATCAGCAAAGTAGGGGATTCTGTGCGCATGTAGTTCCTCGAGGGCGCAGAGAAGCCCGCCTGCGAGCGGTCGAGGGATGGGGCCGGAGAGCCCAGGCGCAGGAAGCTGCGGATCGAAGGCAGGGAGCCCATCTTGGCGCCATCTGGCACGGGGAGTGAGGGACCGAGGCGAGCCAGTCCGCACACAAGCACCAGCATCTCTGACCGACTAAAGCTTCGCAGAAGCGTTGGTGCTTCCAGTTCCCCCATAGCAGAGGCCGGCGCTGCGGCTTCCAATCATCCGGAACTGCGAGCTGGAGGAGTCGATTCTGCGTTTGTAAAGTCCATTGTTGAAGCAAAGAAGCCGGCTTGGGCAAGGGACCGTGTCAGCAACGAGAACTCCACGTGCGAGACGTCGGCAACAGGTAGCAAGGACACAAGCCCCGGGCGACACATTCCAGCTGTAAAAGCTGAGACTTCCACTTGAGCGGCCGATCGAAGGAGCATTGACGACCCTAGCGTTCCAAACTGGAAAGCTAAAGGTGACAGTCCTGTCCATGAGAAGCTACGCAGCAGAGGTAAAGAACCAGAACTGGCAGAATTCAGTGCTGGCAACAATGCTCCAGTACGGGCACGGCCCGTCAGGAACATTGGAAAGCCAGGATGAGTGAGCTGTCGCAAAGAAGTCAGAAAACCCAGACAGAGGTAGTCCAACGCCAGCAGCAGGGCTTCCAAGCATCCAAGTGATCTCAGGGACGAGAATGGGTCAACTCTCGCATAGTCCACGACAAACAGTGAGAAGACGCTACCTGGTCGAGTTAGGCCGGAGACGAGCACGGTAAGGCCAGGGCAGACCGTGCTGTGCAAAGACAAGCTGAAGCCTAGTCTTGCAGAGTCCGAGGCCAACGCAATTAGCCCGAGTCTGCTGAAGCTATGCAGTGAAGCGGGTATACCCAGGCGGAGTGTCTCTGCCACTGACAGTGCGGACACGAAGCCCACTCGCGAAATGCCGGCCACCAACAGCAGCAGCCCCGCACACACGAAGCTACGAACCGGCATAGACAAGCTCACACGGACAGAGCTCAGAGCAAACAGTGCGGGTCCTGGGCATGCATAAGACCGGAGCAATAACATGAGACCGATTGTTGCAAGATCCAACGCAGACATCACTAAGCCGAAGCGGGAACTGCCCATGGCTGGCGCCGCCAGCTCCACCCGACCAGCGTTCCGTGACAGCAGGGAAGGTCCGACGATTGCAAGGCTCAGCGCTGAGCACGAAGATCCCGGACAACCGTGGCTTCGCAGAGGTACCAGAAATTCAGGCTGCGCCACGTCCACTACCAACAAGGAGGACACAAAGCCAACTCTGCTCAAGCCAAAGGCCAACGTAGCAAGACCGGCTCTCGCAGAGCCGTGAACAGGCAGAGTCGAGCCAGCATGCTGGAGGGCAAGTGCAAGTAAGGACGGGCTAGTTTGAGCCAAACTGTGCAGAAAGGCTGGCGAGCCAAGGCTTGAAGCATCGATCACAAAGAGGGAGAAGACAGGGCCGCAGCAAGACAAGCCCAAAGCCAAAGTTGGGCTTCCTACACGTGTGGAACTTCTCGGCGTCATCAACAGCTCCGAATGGGCAAAGCTAGGTACAAGAGGAAAAGCACCAATGTAAGCTGGAGACCGCAGGGAAAGGAGAGAGCCCAGCGGTGTGCGGTCCGGGGCCGAGGGTGGCGAACCCGGTCGCAGCACGTTCGTCGCCGGTGAGGCCGGCCCCAGGCGACCAAGTGAGCGAGGTGGCAGGCCCGCGCCAAGTTTCGAAAAGGCCAAGACGAACGCAAGAGATCCGATTCGAGACAAGGAACGCAAAGGCATCGGTGGCCCAGGATGCCCCACATCGGCCACCGGCAGCGGGAAGACAGAGCCCAGGCTCGACATGCCGAAGACCGGCAAGAAGGCTGAAGGCCGACACGCACCGCGAACTGACAGAAAAGGGCCCATTTTCGCGTAGTTCGGGGCAAGGACCACTGGACCGAGGCAGGCAAGGCTGCGAGGCAACAGCACACTGCCCGAAGTTGTCATCTCCACCACAAACAAAGGGAACACGAGCCCTGCTCTCTGCATGCCAATGACTGGAGCAGAAAAGCCAAGATAGGCCAAAGATTGCACCGAAACCGAAGATTCGATCGCAGCAGCATCCGTCAATGGCACAAGGCTGTCCAAGCAAGCCAGGCTCCTGGTCAAGTGCCGGGCTGCAACTCAGGCATGGTGGCTATGCTTGCAGATATGTGCACAAACGTGCGAGTGTGAGTGTGAGTGTGAGTGTGAGTGTGAGTGTGAGTGTGCGAGTGAGAGTGTGAGTGAGAGTGTGAGTGAGAGTGAGTGAGAATGTGCATGTGAGTCTGAGTGTGAATGGAAGTGTGAGTGTGCGTGTGCGAGTGTGAGTGTGTGAGCGTGAGCGTGAGCGTGAGTGTGAGTGAGTCTGTGTGAGTGCGTGAGAGTGTGAGTGCGTGAGAGTGTGAGAGTGTGAGAGTGTGAGGGTGTGAGGGTGTGAGGGTGTGTGCATGTGTGCGTGAAGGAGCTTGTGGGGCTTGTGGGGCGTGCGGGGCGTGTGGGGCGTGTGGGCCTTGCGCTGGCTTGCTTAGTATGCCTGCATCCGGAGGCTCCCATCAGCAACGAAGCTCTCCTCAGCAGAACTATGAGTCCCATGGTGGTGGAATCCATCACCAGCGACGAGAAGCCGGAGATGCCTCTGCCTGCCAATGCACACTACCACCGTTGTACCTTTGTGGTTTTCCGTGGTTTTCTACCGACTTCAGAACATTGAGGGCGATTCCATCTGTCCCAAGAGTCTGTTCACGTCTTCAGGTGTCTCTGTACACGGGTGAATCTGCCGCATGCTTTCAACTTTCAGCAGCTGCAAGAAATTACCGCAAAAAAAAGCTGCAAAGCGTGGATGAGATGAGTTTCGAAGGTGTGCAGCCTGCAGGGCTGCAGGGCCTGGAAGCCACGGCCCGGTGAGAAGAACAAAAGGAATCACTTTTTTTTGGCTGTTCGTGAAAACGGTAGCGCTCAGTTTAGTCTCCTTGAGCAATTACCAGGGACAGCGAGAACAAAACATCCGACGCCATGTCCACCCCAAGCATCCGATCGCCACTCTAGGCTTGCTTCCATGAGTTTGTTGTATTCTCTTCGTCGCCTTGGGCGGGTTCTTCTACGTACAGTCTTCTTTCTTTCTTGTTCTTGCTTTCTTCTTCTTTTTCACCGTTTGCGAGCTCTCCTTCAAAGTGCCAAGTGACAGTTTTCACCCTAGCAACATCTGGTGACTTGGATCCTGGCTAGTCGCCAGCATTGCAGCGCCAGGTTAACCGGAAGCCCTCATTGGCCTTGGTCCATTGGTTTGGTTCAGCACGTTGTGACATCATGTGACTGGCACCACCTGGATTCTACCTCTTGGCATGTCAGGACTTGTTTTACTCCGAGGCCGTGGCGGCGACGGGCCCGTTCGAAGAGGATCGGACGCCGACTTAGTTGGCAGCAGGTGTGCTTAACATGTTTTGTCCGTATAGACTCTGGCAAAAGTTCGTTGAAGGACAGCCAAAAACTGTGCTCCCGACCAGAGGAGCGCCCAAGCATGCCTCGGGGTCATGCGGTGCAAGCTGTTCAGCGCTCAACTTCTCCCCCTGAGGTGCATCGAACCCGCTACTGACCGGCGAAATGCCCCAACAATGGCTATGATTGCATGACGAGTGTGTACAATGTGTACAATGTGTGCAAGAGTGCACAATCCACAAAAGGGATTTTGCCAAGGAGCAAAACTTTGCACGAATGGCAGGGACCCCAGGTGGGTTGCTCCGATGACAGACAGGCTGAAAACGAAGCCAAAGCGCACACCTCCAGTAGACGTACAGTAGACGTAGGTCAGCGGCGCAGGTGCAAGCTGCACAGCGAATGGCAGGTCTGAGGCCCGTGCTGCCATAGGCAAGGATCTGGAATCCCGAACATGCAAGCCCTTGTGCCAGTGACGGAGATCCCGGGTGCTGGAACCTAAGCTGACAGGTTGGGGAGAGACTTTACCTGACTCGAGTTACTCTAGTGGAATCAAATGCTCTCGAAAAGTTTGTCCACAGCCACACGGCTCAGGCCCGCGCCCAAGTGCCACAAGCGATGCTCCGGGTCGGGCAAGGTGACGTGGAGGCACAGAGAAGCCCAGTTGGCTACTCAAAGGGGCCAGCACAGGCGTCTCTGCTCGGCAAAGGCTCCTCTTCAGGGCCACATTGACCCCACACCAAAGCCAAGACACATCCACAGAGCCAAAAACATGTACTCAACACTGCCACGCTGACATTAGCATGTTACAACGAGTCTCCTTTTGAAATCCGTTCAGGCTTAAGGTGTTTTTCAGCCAAATGAGCCTCACAGTCTAACAAGTGCTAGCAGCCCACACGCACTCACCTGCACTCACATGCTTCACTTACTTGAAGTTGGAAAGCCCGTGCTCCTTGCTGATGCTGTGGGGCCAAGTTGGCTCGCATCAACTACTGGCAGGAAGAAAACAAGGCCTGGGCGACCCAAGCCTAGCACTGGAACCACGAGACCTGACCAGGCGGAGCTATGTGTCAGCAAGCTGGGGTCTGCTTGCGCCATATCATAAACCAAAGTCATGAAGCCTAACTGTGCCAAGGATTGGGAGGAAAAGGGCAGACCAGATTGGGCGAAGCCCGGAGCAGACGCGGCGAAACCCAAGTGAGCCATACGTCG